GGTCCCAAACCACTGGAGCCACATTTAATTTGCTGTGTTTATTGTTCTGGGCTCTGGTATACAAGGTGCTCAGGGCCACAGCAACATTAGTGGAAACACAGACAGAAAGGACAAAAAGGAAAGGTTCCTGTTCGTACTTAGAATTTTCAAAATGCGCTAGTTACTAACTTTCCCAAAAGTTTTTATCTTCTGGTTATTTAAAAAATATTAAACACATACACATACACACAAATCCCCAAACCTTACCTGAAACTGTTAGAGTGTCCCATTAATTCTCACTTAAAATAACTTTTCCTCTATTCTTTTTGTGTGTGTGTGTTGGGGAGGGAGAAATGGCAAGAGATTGAATGTTTAAGTTTCTCTAAATCTTGTGCTCACCATATTAAGAGCATGTGTGCATTACTTCATAAATTATCAGATGACATGCAACTTTATTTAGACTCAATAAAAAAGAATAATGAGTCACGCAAAGTTATTTCTGACACAGGACAAAATAACTTTGCAAAAAGGCATCATTCATGGGGGCCAGACCAGCCTGGCTCAGGGGCCATCATCCATTAGCTCCAAACAAATTTGGGAAAGAATTAGAGCTATGGGTACCATGTCATGTGCCAAGTATAATATGTACAAATCATGATCAACCATAATAACAAAAGCCCTTATTCTCTCTGTCCTATTCCTCTCTGCAGATAAAGGGCCTCCAGGGTCAGGATCAACTGCCTAAGGAAAGCTTAAATTGTCTGAGTTTGTGTCTTCTCCAAATTTATGAAAGACAACATCACAGTGGCCATCAGCCTGGGGTTTTAAAATATCTGAACTGAAAAAGTTGAGATTTAGCCCAAGTGTGAAGTACATTGGATCTCCTTGTAGTCTGTTTTTTGTTGTTGTTTGTTTGTTTTGCTTAATGACAGCCTAGATGTAACCTAGATGTAAGTCAAGAGGTAATTAAGTGAACACTTACGTTTACTTGATAAGGAGGGGCAAATACTGAGGTTTCTTTGTGGGATGTCATACCTTTGTATTTTTCTCAACCATCCTAAGTGAAACATAGAGGATACTTTCTGCCAGGATCCTGGATTATCAACATGTCAATTTTTCTGATCTGCAAATGTCTGAGTAACTTCTCCAAATAGAAATGGTGTTTACGGGGAAAATATCATGTATACAGCTAGTTGCTGCTTAGTTAAAATGAATTCTGGGAAACATACTTGGGGCGCATACGTATCAGAAATACCTTATAAAGTAGCCCCAGAGAAGAGTCGCTGATTAGAAATTTTGGAAATAAAAAGAGAGATTTTGGAAAACTCCCACTTCATGTGATATCAGCAGGTTAACTACTGTTAAGTGCTGATAACTGGCATTTCATTGCTGATGGAACTACTACCAATTGCCTATAGGAGGGTGTATAGAAACACCATGAACAAACTTAGCATGAACCAATACTTATTTTTCCCTAAGCTTTATTAAGATGATTTATTGCTAAATAAAGACACTAATTTCATGGGCTCGTATGAACTTAAATTCATGTGTGCGTGTGTTTCTGTGTGTGTGTTTCTCTTTCTCTCCCTGTGTTTGTGTAACTTTGAAAAAATTAGGCGAAAACATTAGATTAGCAAGTACAAAGAGGGAAAGAGGGAAGTATAGTTTCTCCCAGTAAACTGATTATATTTAATGTTTCTGTACAATAAATAGGAAAACATGAAGTGAGTGAAAGGGAAAGTCACAGGCATTTGTATCTAAATAGCTCCGTAGGTTTTAGAGGAGGTTAAAGAAGGTGAGGGTGATGATGTGTTTACTGGAGGTGGGAAGGTGGAAGTCGAAGGAGTGTACATCAATGGGGCCTTTTTTGTTTTGTGTCCTGGAAAATGGGGCCATTTCTGAAAGTCATGTGAGTAAAGTGGAAGAGGTAATTTGAGAACTCTGGCATCACTGATATATAGGAAGTAAGAAATTGGCTGAGAATAAAAAGATTGAGCTGTAATGAAGGCCTATGTGAGAGTGGAAATGATAAGTGTACACCAGTGACTAATGGTTACAATTTTGTCATTTTATTCAACTGAGCTCAACATGTCGGGAGCAGAAAACATGAATGTGATAGGATTAAGTAAGGTGTATTAGTCTGTCCTCGAATTGCTGTAAATAAATACCTGAGACTCGGTAATTTATAAAGAAAAGAGGTTTAATTGGCTCACAATTCTGCAGCTGTACAGGAAACATGATTCTGGCATTTTCTTGGCTTCTGGGGAGGCCTCAGGAATCTTACAATCATAGTGGAAGGTGAAGGGGAAGCAAGCCCATATTACATGGTGGGAACAGAAGGAAGAGAAAGAGGAAATTCCTGGTTTTCCAGAAAGTTTTTGGCTCTAAATAATATTCAGTTTCAGCATAATATTTGTTTCTAGCCTTTTCCATGTTGCTGCTACAGACTTTTAAACAACTGAATCTTGTGAGAACTCATTTGATATACAGTGCCAAGGGAAGATGGTGCTAAGTCATTCATGAGAACTCCACCCCCATGATCAGATCACCTACCATGGGGCCCCTCCTCCAGCACTGAGAATTACAATTAACATGAGATTTTGGTGGGAACACAGATCAAAACCACATCAGAAGGATTTGCTGGACTTAACACCCAGAGACCAGAAAGATGGGAGACAAAGATGCTGCAAAGATGGACAGGGCTGAAATTATTGACTGTATGGTCTAAGCTAGGTAAGAAAATTGAAACAAAGAGGAATTTAAGAGGGTAGGGAGGCATGATGAGGCTGGAAATGTCACAGTACAGACATAGAATGTGAGAAGTGGAAAAATTAGAGGTAGAGATTGGAGACTGAAATTTTACTGAGAGAATATGCTAGGATATGAATGTTTGTGTCCCCTCAAAAATTCATATGCTGAAAACCTAACCATCAGGGTAATGATATTAGGGGATGGATGGGGTTCTTGGGAGGTGATTAGGTCATGAGGATGGAGCCTTCATGAATGGGGTTAGTATCCTGATGAAAGAGGCCCCAGAGAATTCCCTTGTTCCCTTTCACCATGTGAGGATACAGCTAAAAGTCATGTTCTATGAGGCAAAAAGCAGGCCTCTGCCAAATACAGAAACTGCTGGCACCTTGATCTTGGACTTAACAGCATCCAGAGCTGTAAGAAATATTTCTACTGCTTATAACCTACCCAGTGTGTGCTGTTTAATCATAACAGTCTGAAATGACTTTGACAGACAATTCCTGGTAGTGGCTGGTATCTGTACTATGGTCCTGGGAGTGGACTGATGTGTAAGAATGAAGGCAAAGTTCAATGATCTGTGAGGCTGGGAAGATACCCAAATCAACACATACATCCCTCATGTAGGTTCCATTAAGACTCTGGTTGAAGAGAAAGTCTACATTAATTTGGACCACTTGGCCTCTGAAAAGATGTTTCCTTTGTTGATTTTCTGTGTATATATTGCTGAGTCTTTGGTTGATAATGCTTTTTTTTAAAATTCTCAAGAGTGGAAAAGTCTCCACAGAGAAGACCCACATGGTAATCGTGAGCAGACCGTGCAATGGAAGCATCTTGAGGCAGTGTGGTGAAGTAGAAAGCCCTGGACTGGGAACTGGAGCTGTAGAGTCCTACTGTGGTTCTGCTATTGACTTACTTGTTTAACTCAGATGAAATAACAACCTCTCTGGGCCTCTTATCTGTGAAATGAGAGGTTTGGCAAACGTGGTTTCCCAGGAATTTTCTGGCTCTAAGTCACATTCAATTTCAGCAGAATATTTGTTTCTAACCTACCCCATGCTGCTGCTGAGTTGGCCTAATTGCTAACCCTCTACTGATTTCACTCTGCCCCACCCCACCCTCAAATGACTCCTTCTTTCCACTCAGAGATAACAGCACCAATTAGCTCAGGATGATTTCCCTCACTGCCAAAACTATTTCCAAAATGCTAACTTGTGGCTGCTGATTCACACTGCTAGGGAAGCACTGTTTCTTTCTGACTGGCTTCACATGTGTTGCCACTGCAGGAAGAGACCAACTCCCTGGTAAAAAGTCAGAATAATCAGGAAAAATGGCCCCTTCAGATAACACCGTGAGTCAACAAGGTAAGAAAGAGGAAGCTTTAAAATCACCACCATCATCACTTCTAAAATGTGAAAAGTTAGTTATGCATAGTGCCTGCATTTGGGTACCTTAAAATCGAAAACATATAAGCCAAACACCATATATATCCAGGCACAGTGGCTCATGCCTATAATCCCAGTACTTTGGGAGGTGGAGATGGATGGATGACTTGAGCCCAGAAGTTTGAGACCAGCTTGGGCAATATGGTAAAATCCCGTATCTACCAAAAAAAAAATTAAGAAGACAAGAAACACACAAAAATTAGCTGAGTGCAGTAGTGTGTGCCTGAAGACCCAGCTACACAAAAGACTGAGGCAGGAAGAACGCTTATGCCCAGGGGTTTGAGGCTGCAGTGAGCCATAATTGCACCACTGCACTCTAGGTTAGGTGGCAGAGCAAGACCCTGCCTCGAAAAAACAAACAAACAAAAACAGAAACAAAAAAACTATATAAACATCATCTTGTAAATTGAATAAATATGTAAGTAATTTAGGAGTCAACAGATATTACCCAAAACCATCCTGTTGAGGCTCCAAATCTCGTTGACAAGATCTACTTGGAGTTTATATATGTAAGGCCAACACTATGGGAATGAATGGGATGATGAGCAGAAAAAGAGTAGGGCTGGGGAGGGTACACAAAGAGAGACATTCTCAGCACAGTGCACAAAGGAGCTCCCTCTTTTACACGGCTAGATAATAAGAAGTGATGAGGTCATGAAAGGAGTCAATGAGAGAGAAAGAAATGTTCAAAGGAGGAGAGGCTGGTGTGAAGAGGGAAATGACAAAGGTGACTCAAAGAAACCAGGACTAGAATAGATTTTTGGAATTACCCATTATGAGGTCACTGACAACTTTCTCATGAGAGTTTCTGTGGAATTAGAGGGCAGGATCCAGTCAGCATTAATTTATATAGCAAATATTTGGAATGGAAATGATGTTTCTAAGTTCAGACTATTCTTTCAGAAAGATTAACAGCAAAGTTTGGTACTCAAGGGGATAATAAAAACAAGATAAAAATTTTGAGGAGGAAAACCTTGGCCTGAGGTTAAAACAAAAGGGAAGAATTGATTGGAAAGCAGGGCATTGACAATACATAGAAGAAGAATGGCACAATGGATGAAGTGGAAACCAGAAAAACTAGAATTGATCACAATCCTAGGTGAAGGAATGAGGGGAGAGGAGGGGAGCGATTTTGAGTTTTCAAGAACAAAGGATATCAGCAAAGAGTCAGATCTAAAACTGGACAGTAGCTTTTACGTGGAGAGTTTCTTGAAGATTTCAAGCACAGGAAGAGAGAAGAACAGAGTGCTATGATCCAAGAGCTAGACTTAGAAAATTCCAGAAGAAGAAGAATTAGAAGAAGTAATTGGCTTTATCTCCAAATATGCCCAAAGATGGGACTGAAGACATTACCTCACCTGCATAACAGGGAACAATTTACTGTAAATCTAAAAATGACTGGAGCAAAGGTTAATTCTCTCACCTCTTATTACTGTTGTCTCTATTTATTTTACTAACATGCAGGGACAGGAAAAAAAATGCTGATCCTAGCAAAGAATTCTGCACATATGTGACCAACTGCTCTGTAGAGTGTATATTCGACAACCCAGAGTTCTGCTGGTGTGACATACAACCATTAAATTACCTAAAACTTTTCATCAGCTAGAGACCTTTTTCTACTTATGTCATTTGTAAGTATACTCTAATTTTTGCTGACTGGATCCCTATTTTGGGAAGTGGATACATGTCCACAACTCCTTATTTTTTTTTCCAGATTTTTCATGGCATTTTATTATCTCAAAAACAAAAAACAGTACTGCTGAACATCTGTGTTTTTCCAGCATACTTACTAAGTTATTTATATGTAAAAGTATACAATTAAGACTATTTGGAAGGATTTATCAGTATATAAAAATGCATAAATAGTTCAGTTTATATTATCCAACTATTATTTTTAATAAAGAGCCACTGTATTTCTTCATTATATATGCTCAAGGATATATGTTTATCCAAGTCCAGGGACTTAATCAGTATTCTTAATAGCTAATGACAACAGACAGGGTTTATTTAAATTTTTAAAAAAATAATTAAACAAATATGTAGTGATCTCTTACAGTTTATATATGTTGTAGTATGGCATAAATATGATAATTCCATTTCAGAATATTTGAAAGCAAATGTATACTATAAACTATTTAGTATAAATGAAATATGAACTACTGTTATAAAATGACTGCATTGAATGAATGTATAACTACATTTCTTCTCTAGAAAGATTAATAAACCAATATTAACGACTTCTCTCTTGAGATGTTTTACAATTTTCCAAATTAATAAGACTATGCTAAATTAAAGTTTGATTCCATTGTTCAGCATACAAACAAGCTAATTCTTAATTAACCTTAAGGTGCTTAGCCATGCTGTTTCAGTTTTTATTGTAACTCTGGGATTCCTAAATATATTTATTTTTGGTGATACTCTATTCCCAGCTGTTAGTTACTTGAAGGGAACTTCACAACATTATTTTTGCAACATTATAAGTAAAACTGGGAACAGCTGATATGGAACACCAAACTCAGAACCATTTTAACCTTTAGTCAATTTTACAACTTTTAAAAATCCTTATTAAAACAGCACCTAAGTAAGTAAGGTTCAGCCTCTTCTACTGAGTTTCACACACTTTAGTAATGGTCAATAAACTTTATTCTCAGATATATATTCAAAGATTTTAAGGAAAAAAATACATTGTCTTTCATAAATTTTTAAGTTAACATCTGAATTTTTTTACTAGCACTATAAATGATTACAATAGATGTCATTTTCCTGTGTGTCATAAATGAATGACATTGAAAAGTGGAGCCATTACTTCATTTTTGAATGATATTAATGACATCAAAATACCATAGTTATCATTTTAAAACAAATTTTTGATTGATGTATAACATTTAAAAATGTACCACATTATCAGTGTACATCCCACTGGTTCCACAGAGTTAAGACACTCATATAACCAGCAAACAAGCAGTTCAAGAAGTTCTTTGCTCCTTTTAAGTCTGTCCTCTGCCACAAAGGTAACCATTATTGTGACTTTAATATCATAGATTACTTTCCTGTTTTTAAACTTTATATAAATGGGATTATACAGTAGTTATTCTTTTGAATATGACTTATTTTGCTCAGCATTAAGTTTATGGAATTTATTGTTGGGAGTAGAAATACTTCATTCTCCTTGTAGTCCTTGGTAGGAATATACTGCAATTTATTCATTACATTTTTAGTGTACATTTTAATTCTTTTCAGTTTGAGGCTACTATGAGTAGCGCTGCTGTGCATATTTTTATACATGCCTTTTGTGAATTATGTAAACATTTATGTTAGTTATGTGTCTAACAGTGAAATTATTGGAAGATAGGATCATGCATATATATTCAGCTTTATTAGCTATTACCAGACATTCTGGGGGGTATTTGTACCAAGTTATCTTTTTACTAGAAGTATGTGAGCGCTTTAGCTGTTTCATGTCTTTTGGCAGTCTCTGTTTATTTCTCATTTTACCTATTCTGGGGAGTATAAAATTTGAGTACTTTGAAAATATTTTTTGGTTTTTTGGATATCCTCTTTTCATAAGGAGTATATTCAAGGCTCTTTCCATTTTTCTGTTGGGTGAGTCTTTTCTTATTGATCTGTTGGTGCTCTTTATATAGTCTCTATATAAGTTCTTTGATGTACATATTGCAAATATCCTATTGCATTCTTTGACTTTCAGTCTTACTTTGCTAGTGATGTCTTCTTATAAACAACTTATTAATTTTAATGTGTACCAATTTTTAACTGTTTTCCTGTATGGTTAGCACCTTTTATATCCTGTATGAGAAATTTTGGCCCACTCAAGATTATGAAAATGTTCTTGCAAGTATTCAGCATTCACATAAATATAATCTCAATATAATATAAAATTGCTACTGTATTACATAATTAATTAGGTAAAATCAATTTGAATTGACTTTTGTGTATTGTGTGAGGCAGAAATAAGAGTAATTCTCCCCTACTTTATAGCCAATTGACCCAGGAAATTTACTAAAATGGTATTTATTTCCATAACACTGCAAAGCCATCTTTGCCATAAATCAGGCAATCTTGTATTTATGGCTATATTTTCTATTTGGCTGTTGTTGTACAGATACATGTCATCTTAATCACTATAGATTTATAATGTGATCTAGTGATTCCTATATTTATAATTCTTTCTCAATATTGCTTTGGCTATTCTTGATCCTTTAAATTTCTATACAAAATTTAGAATCTTCTGGTTACTATACACACATGTCTACACCCTATTTGGAATTTTGATTGAGATTATATATTGTGATATATATTATATATTAGATTAATTTGGGAATATCTTTATACTATTGTATGTTCTAACTCATGAAACTGATATGTCTACCATTTACTTAAATCTTGTTTAATTTTTCTCAACTATGTTTTGTAGTTTTTAATGTAGAGAAATATGTGTAAATATAGTTCTTTAAACTTATAACTAATAAATTATAGCTTTTTTAAGATTTAATATATTCTTATTGTTGAAATATAAATATATACTTAATTTTTGTATATTAATCTTATAGCCAGCCACCTTGGAAATTGTTTTTTACTTTTAAATTTTAGTAATTTTTAAATTGTGAAGTGGGTTATAGGCATGCAATTATATTATCTCCTAATGTCATTTTTATTTCTCTCTTCCCATTTATTACAACTCCATTTTTCTTATCAAAATGGATAAGACCATAAATACAGAGTTGAAAAGAAAACGTGGTAGTATCTTTGACTTCTTCTAATCTCATAGTGATAGCTTTCAATACAAAATGATTAAATTTGTCTGCCATAGTTTTTGTAATTATTATTTGTCAGAATAAGAAAATTTCTATCTATTCCCAGTTTACTCAGTTTTTTAAAATCATAAAGTAGCATTAAATTCAATTAAATATTATTTTCTGCATTTATTGAGTTTGAGTTGATTGTGTATCTTTCCTCCTTTTTTCTGTTAAAATAGTAAATTATCTTGTCATTGTATATGTATGTATGTATATGATATGTATCTAGATTTAATTTCTTAATATTTTCAAGGATTTTAAAATTTTTTGCCCTTAAGAGTTTGGCTTGTAATTTTGCTCTATGGCCTTCTAATATTTTGAAATCACAGTTTTAATGCCCTTAATCAATAAACAATTATTTTCTTAATTATTTAATGAGGGCATTAAAATTTGTGTGAGATTTGTATATATATATTTTTAAATATTTTGAAGAACTTATCTATAAAGCCAGGTGGAATTGGAGATATTGTTGTCAGAAAGTTCTTAAATACAGATGCGATTTCTTTAATGAATGAAGAATACTCAGATGTTTTTCTTGTGTTAGTTTTGGTAATTTGTGTTTTTTGAGGTATTTATAGATTCATTTAAACTTTTAAATATCTTGAAAGTATTAATAATGTTCTCTTATTATCTTTTTTTGTTAACAGGCTGTACACTTTATAATAGTTTTAGATTGATAGAAAAATTGAGTAGATTGTAGAGAGTTCCTATGTACCCCCACACATAGTTTTTAAAATGATTAACATTTTATGTTATCATGGTATGTTTCTTATAATTAACGTACTAATGTTATAGAGTTATTAACTAGAGCCCACGGTTTCTTTAAACTTCCTTAGCTTTTAACCTAATATTTATTTTCTGTTCTGGGATCTTCCCTAGAATACCATGGTACACTTAGTTGTGATGTCTCCCTCGGCTCCTCTTAGCTGTGATAGTTTTGTAGACTTCTTGTTTGTTTTTTTGATCACTTTGACAGTTTTGAGCAGTACTAGTCAGATATATTATAGTATGCCCCTATTAGAATTTTTCTGATGTTTTTCTTGTAATTAAACTGGACTTATTTCTCTTTTTCTTGTGTTCTAAGGTGAAAGCTTAGATGATTGATTTTAGATCTTTTCTAACACATATTTAATACCATAATTAATTACCCTCCTAAGCACATTAGTTGCATTCCACAGATTTGTGTTGTTTCATTTTTATTTATGAAATATTTTTAAAATTCTCTTAAAACTTCTTGAATACATGTGTTATTCAGACATATAGTATTAGAAATTATTTAATATCCAAATATTTGTGTTTCTTTTCCAGCTATCTAGTTTAATTCTATCGTGGTATAAGATAATACCTTGTATAATTTCTATTCTCTTAAATTTATTAAGATGTGTTTTCTGGCCCAGAATGTGGTCTGTCTTGGTGAATGCTCCATATACACTTGAGAAGAATATGTATTTGGCTGTTGACTGATAAAGTCCTATATAAATGTCAATTAGGTGCAGTTGATAGTACTGTTCAGTTAAACTGTATCCTTAATGATTTTCTGCTTACTGGGTGTATCAATTACTAAAATAGGAGTGTTGAAGTCTCCAATCATGATAGTATATTTGTCTATATCTCCTTGAAGTACTACCAGTTTTCACTTCACATATTTTGAGGCTCTCTTGTTAGGTGCACGCATATTAAGGATTGCTATGTTTACTTAAAGTATTGATTTATTAATTCGTATAAAGCAACCCTCTTTATCCCTGATAATTTTCCTTGTTTTGAAGTATTCTTTCTCTGAAATTATTGTAGCTAATCCAGATTTTTTTGTTGAGTATTATTATGATATAGTTTTTAACCTATCTGTGTATTTATATTTAAAGTGGGATTCTTATAAGTAACATAGAGTTACATTAAAAATGGTTTAAAAAATCAACTCTGATACTCTCTGATGGTAATTGGTATATTTAGACTATTCACATTATAAATTATTATTGACTTAACTGGTTTAATATCTACCATAATAAAGCTGGTTTAATGTGGCAGATATAGCTTGTTTCTATTTGTTGTTTTGCTCTTTGTTTCTTTTTTTCTCTCCTTTTTTTTTCTGCCTTCTCTGGTTTAATAAAGCATTTAAATGATTCCATTTTCTTTATTTTCCTGCCATACGAATTATAATTATTTTTAAAAATCTTGGTAGCTACATTAGAGTTCACAAGATAAATTTATAACGAATCTAAATCCACTCTCAAATGCCACAGTACCACTTCACAGGTGGTACAGGTACTTTATAACAGAGTAGCCCCAATACTTCCCTTTTTGCTCTCTCAGCATTGCTGTCATTCATTTTAGGTTATCTATATGCTATAATCATCCAGTACACTCACTTTATTATTATCTTGAACAAACAATTACCTATGTAGTAACATATTTCAAAATTGTTGCTTTGCCCTCTCTCTTCCTGGAACATCAGGAGATTTTGCTCTGTTCTTCACCATGAGAATTTGATGAGTCTCCAGAAGTTCACTCACTCTTAAGCTAGTCCACATGCAGACCATAGCAGTTCCTCACCAATTAAGTGTTCCTCCAATTTATGGCTCCAAGTGGCTACTGCTTAAGGTGAGTTGATCTCAACTGTGATTCTCTGTATTCACCTGTCTCATCAAATTTCATAGTAGCAGTTTGTCTTGCAACCTTAGTTTTCTGATGGATCTAAGAAAAGTAATTTATTTTCTGTTTGTTTGGTGTATTTTTGTAGTTGTTGCAAGGATGGAAGCGACAATTTCTAGGCTTTTTACTTGAAACTGAAACAAGAAGTTGTCTTATTATCTTTTTTAATGTCTAAAATATCAGTGGTAATATCCCATTTTTTATTCATAACATTGGTAATATGTAACTTTCCACTTTTTTCTTTTTTTTTTTTTGAGACAACCTCTGCTTCCTGGGTTCAAGTGATTTTCCTGCCTCACCCTGCTGAGTTACTGGGATTACAGGCATACACAGCCATGCTTGGGTATTTTTTTGTATTTTTAGTAGAATTGGGGTTTTACCATGTTGGTTAGGCTGGTCTCGAACTCCTGACCTCAAATGATCCCCACCTGCCTTGGACTCTGAAAGTGCTGGGATTACAGGCGTGAGCCACGGCACCTGACCTTTGATTTTTCTTGATTCTTCTTGTAAGCAGTTTATTAATTTTATTAGTCCTATTAAATAAGTACTTTTGTTGACTCTATTATATATTTTCAATATTATTAATTTCTACTTTAAAAATTATCTTCCTACTATTTTTTGTGGGTTTAACTTGTCCTTTGTCTAACCTTTCATAATAATTACATCATAGACTTTCATTCTTTTTTCTTTTCTACTATATGTATTTAAAGCTATAATTTCTCTCAGCATTGTTATATGCATTCTATAACTTCACATAATTAATATTTTTATATTTATTCAGTTCAAAAAATAATGTCATATTTTTGTTATCATTAATTCCAAAATATTTTCTGATTTCATTGATTTCCTCTTTGGATTATTTAGAATTATATGCTTAATTCACAAAAAGGAAAATCTTATTGAAAATTACTTTGCATTATTAATCCTTTTAAATATTTTGAGGTTTATTTTATAGCCAAGTATAGTTAATATGGGTAAATATTTTATGTGTACTTGAAAGGAATGTGAATTATTTCTAACGTACATTGCTCTATATATGCCGTTAAGTTTGTTAATCGTGTTGTTCAGATCTATATCATTAATTTGTTGTCGATTGATTTGCAAATGGTGAGAGATGGATGTTAGTCAGTCACCAACTTCTATTTCTCCTTTTAGTTCTTTCAACTTGCTTTTTGTATTTTGAGGCTATATGTATACTGATATAGAATGTTTTGTTTTGTTTTGTTTTGAGATGGGGTCTCAGCCTGTTGCCCACGCTGGAGTGCTGTGGCATGATGTCAGCTCACTGCAACCTCTGTCTCCTGGGTTCAATCGATTCTCCTGCCCTCAGCCTCCTGAGTAGCTGGGATTACAGGCACATGCCACCACGCCCAGGTAATTTTTGTATTTTTTGTAGAGACAGGGTTTCTCAATTTTGGCCAGGCTGGTCTCGAACTCCTGACCTTAGGTGATCCACCCATCTCGGCCTCCGAAAGTGCCGGGATTACAGACATGAGCCACCGTGCCCAGCGTGATACAGAATTTTTAACTGCCTGGTATATTAACCCTTTTATCTTATAAACTATCTCTATTTTTCGTAATGTTTCTTGCCTTTTTATCTAAAGGCTACTATGATATAAGTATAGCTATACCAGCTATCCTGTTTTCTTTTGGTTATTGTTAACGTTATCTTTTTCATTCTTTTACTAACAACTTTTCTATGGCCTTGTATCTAATGTATGGCTTTTAGAAGAAAAATCAGTTTTCTAAAAAATCTAGCCTGATAATTATTGTCTTTTATTTTGAGTATTTAGTTTCTTATATTAATGCAATTTTTAGACACTTTAGTTTTTACTTTCTAAGTTTCCTTTGTCTCTTTCCTTGCTTTTTGTTGTATTAATCAAATATTTTTATTGTTCCATTTCATTGCTTTATTATGTTGTTAATTATACATTTATATTGTTCTTTGGTGATTACCCTAGAGGTTATAGCATGTGTCTTGAATTCTTTATAGTCTTAATATAAATTAGCATATTTATTCGTTCCCAGATAGTATCTTGGAGCACTTTTTACTTTCCTCCTGCCTTTTATGTGACTTTTTCAGAAATTTTAACTCTGCATATATTTTTGACACCACAACTCATTATTATTATTGTTCTATATAGTCAATATTCTTTTGTATTTATCAATCTGTATTGGTTTTGATTTCCTCTTATGTTCTATTTGTTTCCTTTGGTTGGGAAGGAAGGGAAATTTTATTAGTTTTCCTTTTGCTTTAAAAATTCTCAGCATTTCTTTCAGTACACATCTGCTAGTGATGAATTGTCTATTTTTGCATGGCTAAAAATTTCTCATTTTGCCTTTTTTGTGACAGATATTGTTACCAGGTATGGACTTCTATGATCACAGTTGTTTTCTTCCCTTATTGTAATGTGTTGTTCTGTTGCCCTCTATAGACGAGTCATCTGTCCATCTTATTGTAGCTCATCTGAAGATAATATCTTTTTGTTTTTGGCTTGCTTTTAATTTTTTATCTTTTTCTTTGATTTTAACAGGTTTTCTGTAATATGCCTGTACGTAATTTTCTATGTATTAACCCTATTTTATTTTGTAGCATTTTTCATTCTGGAGGAAGAATTTTCATCCTGGAGGTGTGTTTACATCTGTAGACCAATTTCCTTATGCCCCAGATATCACTCTTTTTCCCTCTGTCTCTCTAGAATGTCTATTATTATATCTTTTAGTCCACTCATTTTTTGTAAGTCCAATCTGCTGTCAAAATATTCTATTGAGTTCTTTATTTAAAATATTGAATGTTTCACTTTCATAATTTCCATTTAATGTTTTAAAATATATTTTAGCTTCTACTGAAATTCTCCACTTTCGTATCTGTTTTTTTGAACATGTACATCACATACATTTTAAAGTCTAATACTTCAATAAATGGGCCATCTATAACTTTTTTATTTGCTTTTTGGTCTCATTTCTTGATATGCTCACCAATCTTTTAAAATAAACGACTTTTTAGAGAACATTTTCTCTAAAAAATAAATTGAAAAGAAAGAACAGTGAGTTATCATTCTCCCCTTGCCCCGCCGCCCCCACCCCCCTGCAGTGTCCTCCACTATTACACATTCTGACCCAGAGTTGTACTTTTGTTACAATCATTGAATGTACATTGACACATCCTTATCACCAAAAGTCCATGGTTTTCATTAGAGTTCAGCCCTGGTGTTGTTTATTCTATGGATCTGACAAATGTATAATGATTTGTACACACCAGTAGTATTAGGTAGAATAGTCTTACTTTTCTAACAATCCTCTGTGTTTCATTTATTTGTTCCTCCCTCCTTCCTTACCTCTGGCAATCACCATTTGATCTATTTATTGTCTCCATAGCTTTGCTGGCCTGCTTAGCAATTTTTGAGTGCATGGAAGACTGTGTAAGAGGAAGTACAGAGGCACTGGATGATGTTGCCTTCTGTTTCAGTGAATGTTCGCTCATTCTTCTTCCTTTCCTCTGGGATTAAGGCACATAAGCTTTAATAAATCTTTGATACCTGTAAGAGAATTTTGTTTGTATTTTATTTAGGTTTTCTTAGTTGATTCGTCAGAAACTTGGTCTGCTGGAAGCTACTTTATCTTAGCACAATGTGAAAATGATTTGATAAACACTATTATCCTTTTTTTTAAAAAAAAGCTCTACAATGTTGGAAATTTTACATCGTTCCTTTTGTTCTTTGAAGTGATTTGTGTCCATATTTTATTCTGCTTCCTCCATAGGAATCCTATGTAATTTAGGATCCTGATGTGGCAGAACTTTTTGCTTAAATGTCTATGGATCACTCTACAATATTTTTCTGAAATAAAATGGACACATACAATATTTTTAAAGCATTTTAAAATTGTCAGTAGTCTCTAATTCATTAAGTCTCTAATTCTGTATTTCTCAGTGTTGCATATTTGAATTACCCAGGGACATTTACAAATTGCTGATGTAATTTTGTCCTAACCCTAGGCTGATCTAAATGAATGTGAGAAACCTTTTTTGCCCTCTCGCTTCTGCTTAGGTTTATTCAATGAGTTAGGGAGGAGATCAGGTCAAGGGGTTTATTTTCCAAGCTCCCTTTCAGCAGGGTTTTCTCAGGAAGGCTGACTCCCTTGACTCAAGATCACAGTTCCTGCTAGGTGGCCGTCTCTACATGACTTTCTCCTTCTAGTTCTTGGTAGTCATTCCATCCACTTCTCCCCTTGAGAAGGTAACACTCCCATGGTATTTTAAATGCTTCTCATTTTTCCACATTTGAAAACAGCCTCTGCATTAAATCCTCCTTAAATTATCCTAGTTTGCCTCGCTGGTACACACAGAAACAATGGTATTCTCGATGGGACTCATTGGTTTCCACAGAGGTTAGCCGGAATCAGGGATGTTATTTAACAGGGTTTCTAGTTCCTCAACCTCTCTAATTAGAAAACACAATAATCTTTTATGAACTAAACCTCAATTTTGCCTGACAAACCTGGTGTTATGGCTCTGTTGATACACAGATCCCAGAGAATGGATGCTTCATCTGACATCATTTAAAACTAATACAATGAAAACATAACATGGGTATTCTGTTCTGGATCATTTCCTGCCCACATCTTTTTGCTTGGGAAATGAGGGATAATTTGACAAACGCTGAAGGAGGAATGTCAAACATATACAATACGTACATTCTTCCATCACTTTTCTTCATTTACCCCTTATTTATATGCAATCCTGTCTTTTGTTGTTTGTAAATTGTTTTTTGGATGTCATTATCCTCTTCTTAGCTACACTGTAAGTTTCAGGGGGACATAAGCTGCAAACTTATATGTCTTTGCAATTGCCACAGCCTGAAAATTTTCTACTCAGGTCTCTTCTAGTCCACCTGTCTTTTTCATGTCCAGTTTGGTGTCAGTTCATTTAGTGAGTTCTTAATTTTAATTATTACATTTTGTTCATTTATTTACTCAACAAAAATATTTATTGAGCACCCATTGCTAGGAATGGTGTGGATTGTAGGATATAAAGGTGAACAAGGACCCCCAACTAGTGTTATTAGATGAGGATAAGAACTGATTGATTTTAAAAGACTGGTTGCTTTAAAAGGGTCACATGCCCTTATTTACCTTTCATGAAAACCCATCCACCCTCATGGTGGGTGCCCAGGATCTTGATTGAAAACAATACAAACTAACTTTGTGTAAGAACTTTATTGTAGTTACAGACTTAACCCAAAGTCTGGAACTCCAGGTGATATGGCTTGGATTTGTGTCCCCACCCAAATCTCATGTTGAATTGTAATCCCAGTGTTGGAGGAGGGGTCTGCTGGGAGGTTATTGGATCATGGGAGTGGACTTCTCCCTTGAAGTTCTTGTGATAGTGAGTTTTCACAAGATCTTGTTGTCTAAAAATGTGTGTCACCTACCTTGTCTCTCTCTTCCTTCTGCTTTGGCTGTGTAAGATGTAACTCCTTCCTTTTTGCCTTCTACTGTGATTGTAAGTTCCCTGAGACCTCCCTAGTCATGCTTCCTGTATAGCCTTCAGAACAGCCACCCAATTAAAACTCTTTTCTTTATAAATTACCCAGTCTCAGGTATTTCTTTATAGCAGTGTGAGAATGAACTAACACACCAGGCAGAAAACAGGTAGAGACATAAGAAGTCTACCAGGTGAGAATTTAGTCAGAGTGCACATGATGTCACAGCACTGAAGATGAACACCTGGCTGTGTGACTAACTCTGATGTCTCTCTAAGAAATGGACATCAGAGATCAGTGCTTGCCCTGATTCGGGGGAGGTTGTCAACTCTCTCTTCTTGTGTCATACTTAGTTCAGATCCTAGAACCCTATGGTGATCATCTGTGGAGCTGTTTAGGTCCCTATAAGTTGCTAGAGGTCTGGGAGAGCAAGGACATTCAGGGCTTCTGAAAAGTGTCATTTCACTTCCAATTATGACTCACATAGTGGAAAATTCCCCCAATAAGGGAAGGGGCCCCAGTGCTTAGTAGCCAAAAAGTCATCATAACTGTCCAATCTATTTATAATAAAATTTGCAGCCAACACAATTGGCAATCGTATGAATAGGTAAACTACTTTGGAAATGGTGAATGTTTCAGATATCCTTGAAGCCAGTATTTTTGTGAAAAATATTAATGACTTCCTTAGGAATGTAACTATTCAGAGCAAGATCATCAGTTCACCCAAATATTTGTAAGGATGGAACAGAGCACAGTGAATTCATTCATTTACTTCTGTAAATGACCACATGATAAATGCACGGAGGTTGAGAATAGAAAAGACATAGCTGGCCCACTCACCATCATCCCAGCTTCAGCTTCTAGCCCAGTTTTGGGAGCTGTGATATTACAAGAATTTTACTTTACTAAAATTTAACCTAGAACATTCTGTCCCCCTCTTTCTCTCTTTCTTTCTGTCTCTCTGTGTTTTTATACTTAGAATTTCTCTGGTTGAGAAACTAGTATTAGTTTTCTAGTTTACTAGGTAACTAGTAAAATGCAGAAAATGATTCTGTGTCAGAAAATTTACTACCCAAAATAAAAATTTTGGGTAAAAAACATTGAATAAACCCAAAAGAGAATGCTGGCAACAAAGATAATGATATAACAAGGAAAACACATCTATAATGCAAAAAACTGGAAAGATTTTTGCTTTTCTTTTTTCCCTCTATTCAACATCCATGGGATGGCAGGTCTGAGGTAACTCCATAAGAATGTGGCCATTGCAGCTGCTGAGATAGAGTAGCCAATCTGTCCTGTGCAACTGACTAGGCTCTTCATGATTTTCCTTGGACTTTACAACAATCCTACAAAGTAGTAGATATTATTATTCTGACTTTCTAATTAAAAAACTGATTCTTCAAGAGGATAAGTATCTAATGTAGTCACACAGAGTAGTAAGTAGCAGAGCAAGGTGTCAAAAACATCTTTACTTGACTCTAATGCTGAACTTTTAATGATGGTTCTATACATCTCATTGAAAAGTCAAAAACATATACACGTCTGGAAGATGTTTGTTGGACTTGAAATAGACATCTTCTTTGCAGCTGGCCCTGGGATCTGGTTTGGTAGGAAGTGGTGGTTGGGACATTTTATTTTTGAATTTGGTTACCAAGCATGTGCCAGTGAAGCATTTTGTTGTATCGTGTCCTGACTGCTACCTTATACGTCTTTATATAACTACATGATCATGATGAAGACACAGCCTAGAGATTTCTGTGACTGCCGGCATTTGGCTATAGTATGTACAAGGTAAACTCTAAGCAAATGGCCTCCTGGTCCTTTCTGTGTAAGATTTCTTTTGCTATGAACTCACATCTCCAGTCTTTTATCTTATCAACATTACTGTTTTATTTGCAAGTATCCTTTAAAAATAAAAGAATGCCTCCTTCTTGGACTTGACTTTATAGAACACTACACGTGCCAAAGCCATTCCAAATCTTACCTCATTTTGAAATGCCGTTGTGGCTGGTTTTATTTTTCCTTCCTTTCCCTTATTTTAGATCATTATAATACATTTTATAGGTCAGTGTCAAACAGCAAGACTTCAACAGTGTGGGGACTATTGCTGGAAGTCATGCCAGAACACACAACTGTAATCCACTAAGTTAATGGAAATGCAACATTACGGCTGAGATTTTACGTATGTGGAAATCGTGAAAACTCACAAACCCAATTCCCGCAACACAAAGAGAAAAGAGAACTGCCCTCTCTACTACCAGCAGCTGGTCCGCACGTGGTTAAAGACTCCATTCGTGGAGTAGGAGACCCTTGGTAGTTCACATTTCAGTAAACCATAAACTTTTACATGCATATTAAACATCAGAGGGCTTGCAATCATTTATTATCTAGGTCTATTGAATTTGCATCTATGACATCAAAAACCAAAGTGCAAGACAAAAAAGCTGTTTTATTAAAAACTTTACATTTTAATCAGATCAACATCTCCAATGTCCCCAGGAGTGTAGCAACATGGAAAATAAGATTTTGTAGTCCCATTTGGGCTCACTGGATGCTCCATTTTACAACCACAGTTTTTCACCCCCCATACAAACCTCACATCTTTTTCGCCAAACAGAGTTAGCAGGGAAAAAAACTGTAAAGCAATGGTTCTCAACCTTGGCTTCACTGGAACCATCTGGAAAGTTTTACGAATCCCAATGCTTAGGCTGCATCCAGACCAATTGCAGTGGAATCTTTGAGGGTGGGACCAGGGCATCATATTCTTTTAAAACTTCTCATGGGTTCGTGTCGTTTGCAGGGACATGGATGAATCTGGAGAACATCATTCTCAGCAAACTGACACAAGAACAGAAAATGAAACACCGCATATTCTCACTCATAGGTGGGTGATGAAAAATGAGAACACATGGACACAGAGAGGGGAGTACTAAACACTGGGGTCTATAGGGGGGAAAGGGGAGGGCCAGTGGGAGGGGGAGGTGGGGAGGGATTGCCTGGGGAGAAATACCAAATGTGGGTGAAGGGGAGAAAGCAAACAGAACACACTGCCATGTGTGTACCTATGCAACTGTATTGCATGCTCTGCACATGTACCCCAAAACCAAAAATGCAATTAAAAAAATAAATAAATAAAAAAAAAATAAAACTTCTCATGGGAACGTGAGCCCAGGCTGAGGCCCTTGGTAGTATTTCTCTTTTCCTTTTCCGTGCCTCTTTTGTTCTTTGTTGGGTTCCCCCACTTTCAAATCTGTCTGGGAAACTCCCTGAATTCTAAAATAATGTTTTACTCTGCATAAACTATTGCACAATAACAAGAACCCTTAATGTTTTCTTTAAAGGAAAATGATCTACAAGGAGGGCAAAATGTTTTAAATGGAAAACCTGATTTCCAATACCATCACAGGGCCAATATCAGAGAGGTTGTGATGTGGATTTTATCTTTTTCTTCAACTTCAAACACTTTATGAAAGAAACAGTTTCTGATTCTTTCAAGAAAACTCAGTTGCTGTGGATATACAGGGGATACGAACAAGAGCAGCATTTTAAAGTATGTGGGCCATAGGCCATTGCATCAGTCACCTGGGCTCCAAATCCAGATACTTGAATGTCTCATATAGGGGCCTGTTAATTTGCATTCTAATACTCCCCAGTGATGTTTATGTAAGCACATTTTGAAAACTATGGAACTAGCACATTAAATCTCTGACAGCAGTGCCATCTATATAATATTAGTGATATGGTCTGTGTTCCCACTCAAATCACATCTTGAACTGTAGTTCCCATAATTCCCATGTGTCATGGGAGGGACCCAGTGCGAGGTAATTGAATCATGGGGGTGGTTACCTCATATGCTGTTATTGTGATAATGAGTGAGTTCTTATAAGATCTGATGGTTTTATAAGAGGCTTTCTCTCCTACCCTTTGCTCTGCACTTCTCCTTCCTGCCACCATGTGAAGAAGGACACATTTCCCTTCCCCTCTGCCATGACTGTAAATTTTCTGAGGCCTCCCCAGCCATGCTGAACTGAGTCAATTAAGTCTCTTTCCTTTACAAATTACCCAGTCTCAGGGTGTGTTTTTATTAGCAGTGTTAGAACAGACTAATACAATCAGTTCATACAAAATAAAAGAAAATTAAAGTGGAAGAAATATTGAGTCCTATGCTAATACAATAAGCAGGTGGCAATAAATTTTTATAAAGAATTGAAATACAACAGAAATACCTATTGTCTCTAAGCTATTGGGTTTCACTGATGGTAAACGTGTTTGACTGTGTTTTTTGGTGGATAAATAAAAGGGTCTTCCAGGGGATTTGCATCATCAAATTCCATGTGCTAAAATTTCATGCTTCTATGTCAAAAAATCTATGTTTGGCCAGCCATGATGGCTCACACCTGTAATTTCAGTGCCCTGGGAGGCCAAGATGAGAGGATCACTTTGAGTCCAAGAGTTTGAGACCATCTGGGTAACACAGTTAAACCCCATCTCTACTAAAAAATGTAAAAAATTAGCCAGGCACAGTGGCACATGCCTGTAGACCCAGCTACTCAGGAGGCTGAGGCAGGAGGATTGCTGAAGTCCACCTTGAAATTGCAGTGAGCTATGATCCTATGATTGTGCTACTGCACACCAGCCTGGGTGACAGTAAGAGACTTTGTCTTAAAAAAAAAATCTGTGCCGTGGCCACTTTCTAGGTGACCTTGGACAAATTACCGAATCCCTGTAATTATCACTGTCAAATGGGGACCCCAGTGCCTCACAGACTATGTAAAACTGTAATAAGATTATTTATGTGCCTTATAATCTGTGATGCACTGTGCAAGTACTGGTTACCACTAAATTCTACTGTCCAGACCCACATCGTCATGCTGCACAAAGCTCAGAAAAGATCTAGTCTTGCCAAGGTACATATCAAACAGTTTAGTGGCTGGGCTGGGACAGCAATCCAGGACTACTGGCTGTATGCAGTCTTTTTCTCCACTCTCCCCCAACATCTAAATTGAGATGTTTAACTCAAATTTGTATCATATTGAGCAAGGAACTCAGAGCAATGATTAGAATTCTTTATGTGACAGAGACAAGTAAAGTTTAAGTATTTTAAATCCTTCCTTTCTAAAGAGAAGGGATACTTTTTCAAGTTAGGTGTCTGACGTTTGTTCTGCTAAAGAAAGAGGTAATCGGTAGAGAGACTGGGAAGAGCTGAGAAGGTCAAAACGTGCTACAGGAGAGAAGGCTAAGAGCAAAATCCAAGAAGAGAGATAAGGGGAACTAAGCAAAAGAGGGCAAGGAGGATGAGGAGAGAGGAGAGACAGGTGGAGACAGGGGAAGGTGTGGGCACTGTTCGAGGGAGTGGAATTTCTGGAGGGAGCGAGATGTTCAGGGAGGATTATTAGAGAATTCTGCTTTCCAAAGATGCACAACACAATCTCTTTCTTATTCCTCCAAGGCACCTTTAGGGATGATCTACATTGCTTTTAAGTGCTTTTAGTTCCAATTTGGGTTTACTTGTAGGTTTGATTTTTAGAATGCCTTGGTGTACTAAATTTGGCATGAGGAAAGAGTAAAAATTTAAGATAGTTACATCTATTTAGGTAAATATTTTACCACCACTTTTCTCTTTAGGATTTAAAAAAAGTATATAAGTGAAACAAACCACCATTCAAGACAAAATAAACATAAATTCACACACAGTAAAGGCTGGTTAAGTGGGTCAGGCCTTGTCTTTATTTCTGAAGTTCCCTCCCCAGGATAAGGGAACAACCCTAGGCTAGAGCAAACAGTCTTGCAATTCCTTTAAATTTGTGGTTCCAGCATGAGGTCCAGCATAGGGTCAACCCTAGGCTAGACCCTAAGAGCAAACAGAGTCCTGCAATTCCTATTAAATCTGTGGTTCCAGCATGAGACATTCTGAGACTTTCAGTGCTCATTCAAGGTCACAATTTTCTATAACTGTTCCCATCTCACTGCCTCTGCCTCATGACCATCTATATGCTGATTGTTTTTGCAACACTGCTATGGTTTGAAAAATAGTGTCCCTTCCAAAATTTATATCAAAACTTAATTCCTGTTGTGGTGATATTAAGAGGTAAGGCCTGTTTTAGTCTGTTCTCATGCCTCTATAAAGAACTAACTGAGACTGAGTTATTCATAAAGAAAAGAGGTTTAATTGACTCAGTTCCACAAGTGCAAAGCAGACAGGGCTGGGGAAGCCTCAGGAAACTTACAGTCATAGCAGAAGGGTGGAGGGGAAACAAGCACATATTCACATGACAGCAGGAGAGAGAGAGAGAGAGGAGGAGGTGCTACATGTTTTGAACAACCAGATCTCATGAAAACTCACTCACTATTATGAGAACAGGAAGGAGGATATCCACCCCCATGATCCAATCACCAGGTCCTTTACCCCAACATTAAGGATTACAATTCAACATGAGATTTGGGTGGGACACAGAGCCAAACCATGTCAGGGCCTTTTGGGAAGTGACTAAGTTGTGAGGGCTCTGCTCTCATGAATGGGTTAAAGCCCTTATAGAAGGGGCTTCAGATAGAATGCACCCCTTCCTTGCCCTCTGCCTTCTTCCATGTGATGAGGCAACAAGAAGACCCTCACTGTACATCAAATGCTGACACCTTGATCCTGAACTTCCCAGCCTCCAGCACTGTGAGAACTGACTTTCTCTTCTTTATAAATTACCTTGTTTCAAGTATTTTGTTGTAGCAGCACAAATGAACTAAGACAGAAATTGGTACCAAGGAAGTAGGGTGTTGCTTTAACAAAAACCTGAAAATGCAGAAGCAGTTTTGGAACCTGGTAATGGGTAGAGGCTAGAATGGTTTTAAAGTAAACACCAGAAAAAACCTATATTACCACTAATGGAGCATTAGGGGCAATTCTCATGAGGGCTCAGAAGAAGAGAGCTATGGAGTGAGCCTCAGTGATGGAGATTACCTAAGCTGTGAACAGAAATGTTGGCAGAAATGTAGAAAGTAAAGCCATTCTTATGAAGTCTTAGACAAAAATGAGGAATATCTTATTGAAAGCTGGAGGGAAGGACATCCTTGTCACAAAGTGACAAAGAATCTGGCTAAATTGTGTCCATGTCCTACTTCTTTATGAAAGGCAGAATTTAAGAGCTATGAACTAGGATATTTGACAGAAGTAATCTCTAAGCAGAGTGTTCGGGGCACTGCGTGACTTCTCTTAACTGCTTATAGTAAAATGTGAGAAGAGAAAAACAAGTTAAAGATGGAATTTATAATAAAAAGGAAAAGCGAATGTAAACATTTTGGAAAATTCCCAGCTTGGCCATGTAAAGAATAAAAAGAGAGAAAACCAAGGGTGTGGCCAAGTGACCTTTTGATGAGGAGATTAGTGTGGATAGAAGGAAGCCAGATGTTATTCATTAAGAAAACTGGAAAATGATCCCAAAGGCGTTTCAGAAATTATTAATCCTGCCACTCTCATCACAGGCCCACAGCACCAGGACCTTAAAGACAGGACCCTTTCAAGGGAGGAAGGGACCCAGGGCTTCCTCAAGTCTCTTCTTCCTGCATTCCAGTGTGGCACTCCTCTGCTCACTCCCGCACCCTCTCACACCACTGCTGGGGCTCAAGTGACAGCACAGACTGTTCCCCTGGTGAGCACATCTGCAAAACCAGGCAGTATCCACATGGTGCTGACTCTGCAGGTACTCAGAGTGCATGCGCTGTGCAGACATGGCTACCTCCACCTAGATTTCAAAGGATGCTTCAGAGTTTCAAGGCCCTGGCAGAGAATTGCCACAGGGTCAGAGGCATGTGAACCAGAGCAACTCCATCTCGAATAGGAGCTGGAGGGATAAACTGAGATTGAGATCTACTGGGCTGCATTCCCAGATGGTTAAGTTATTCTAAGTCACAGAATGAGATAGGAAGTAAGCACAAGATACAGATCATAAAGACCTTGGTGATATAACAGTTTGCAGTAAAGAAGCTGGCTAAAATTCACAAACCCAAGATGGCAGGACAGTGACGTCCGCTTGTCCTCACTGCTACATTCCCACCAGTACCATGACAGTTTACAAATGCCATGGCAGTGAACCCACACAAGGGCAATGCCTCATGACATTGTATGGGACAGGGCTACTCCTGAGACAGTAGAACTATCATGCAACTCCTCTCTAAGGAGAACCTCAGACACTGAATGCCAGCCCATGAGAGCTTCCGTATGGGCTGTACCTACTAATGCCATGGAGGTGGGGTCCCTGAAGCCTTGGAGACCCAAACTTCACCCTAGTGTGTCTGGAAGGTGTGATCTGGAGTCAGTGAAGATTGTCCTTAAGCTTCTGAATTTAATGTTGTGTGACTTGTTTTATTTTGGACTTACCTGGGAGCTATTACTCCTTTCTTTCTGCATATTTCTTCCCTCTGGAATGGGAATGTCTATCCCATGCCTATCCCATCATTTTATTTTGGAAGCACACATTGTTGGATTTCACAGGCTCACTGCTGGGGAGTAATTTGCTTCAGGATGAAGAGTGCCTTGGATCTCACCCGGAGCTGATTTAGATAAGACTCTAGAGTTTACACATTTAAGTTGATGCTGGAAACAGTTAAGACTTTGAGGGCTATTTGAATGGAATGAATGGACTTTGTAGGTAAGAAGGCTATGGATATTTTGGGGGCCAGGAGTGGAATGCTATAGTTTGAATGATGACATCACCTCCAAAATTTATGTTCAAACTTAATCTCCCTTGTGATGGTATTTAGAGGTAGGGCCTTTGGGGAGTAATTAAATCATAATGACTCTACCATCATGAATAGATTAATGCCCTTATAAAGAGGCTTTAGAGAGAGTGCTCTTTTCCTGCCCTCTGGCTTTTGCCATGTGAGTGAGGATGCTGCAAGAGGGCCCTCACCACACACCTAATGCCAGCACCTTGATCACGGCCTCCTCTGACTCCAGAAATGCAAAAACTTAATTTCTATTCTCTATAAATTACCAGTCTCATAATTTTGTTACAGCAGCAAAAACAAACTACCAATCGGTCCATTTTTAATCTGTATCATACTACAGTTTTCGTCTGTACCCAGTCTCTTTGGTTCCTGATCTTTGGCCCAGTTTACCATTTACAATATATAGTTTGTACAGTATCTCAAACTTGACTTCTCACCTTCATCCCAAGGACTGACTTCTGACTTTCACTCTTCTCTGTGGCTCCTGTGTGCCTCTTTGACTTCCTTCCTCTCAGATGTTTCTGGCAACACTTTCCATCATTCCAACTTCCCACCAGGCCTTAGTTCCAAGACCAAGACACAGAAATTAGCTTATAGCTTTTCTTACTCTCACTCCTCCCCCAAAAGCACCAAGGAAAAGGTCAATGTCCCTTTGTAAACAAGGCTACAGTGTATTGTATTCCCTATCCATACTTTAATATCTCAAGGACTAGACTTGTGTGTAAAATGTAGGCATCTATGCATATGACTGATATAACCATTATCTGTTGTAGTCCTGAGGCAGTAATGAATAAACACACACACACACACACACACACACACACCCCAGAAAACTACTCCTGCACCTCTATACTTAAGTATGTGTGTGAGTTTGTGCTAGTGCACAACTCCATCTAGACCTCTACATTTGGTATTTATTAATTTTTAAGAGATTTTAATTAGGAAACAACAGATGTGTTCTATGCTGTTTTCATTTGTTGATAAATTCTTTAATTCTAAACAATTCTATTCAAGCTTAGCAGAGAAGAACGAGGATGAATTTTGTATTCTTAAAACCCCATCTGTTTTCTCACGCATTGAAATAGAAAAGAAAAAGAAGAGGAAAGCCTCACGTCAGTTACACCATTTTTCCCAATGAGATGATCTTGGAGGTCATGTGCTTTTCACCATTATTTCCAAGTTGCCTTCTGAGGGCACAAACGTAATGCAATTGGGCTCCAAACCTAATTTGAGCAAAACTATTTATAGTCTGAATAAAATATTTTTATAGACTTAAGTAGCAACAAAATCAACAGCAAAACAGCTGTATTTTTGTGAGAAATAAGAAGTGAGATTACAGAACTGTGTCATGGATGCTCTTTACTACCTTTTAAAATCAGCACATTTTCACCATTAGCACAGCTACGTTCTTTTCTTAGAGACTCAGCCCACATTTCAGCTTTGCCCCTTCACTAGGGAACACATGGGGGGGATGCAGAAGAGAGATAATTGCAAAAACATGGCACTTGATGCTTCAGTTGCCAGCTTTTCCCACCCCAAATAATATACTGGAATTTCAAATCATGTGTAATCCTTTGTGAAGAAAGCATAGAATTATTTTGAAGGAAAATGAATAAGGAAAAAGTGATTTGTTTGAAGGGAGAAAAAAGCTACTTTTTCCTGTTGTAGGATGAACAAACTTTTAGTTTTTAACTGCGTTTATCACCATAAAGAGAATTCAAAGTGAATTCATTCAAGTCAAGTGACCTTATTTTGTGGAAGATGGATATTAATATTTCATTTTGAGTCTCTGTCATTCTCTGCCGGGTGTGGCCAGGAAAGGTTGCTGAAACCCACTCATCCCGACTCTGGTCTCATTTCCCCTCCGTGGATAACAGTTACAGAAGCCTCATACCAATGTGCTGAGAGTCACATTTTCCATCAGCAGCATTTTGCTATTTGGAAAGTCCTCAAGCAATTGTGCCAGCTGCCTTGGAGTTGCCTGCAATATGGCTCATGTGTTTCTCACAGAGGGTCTGGGAAGCTTTGTTAGTCTCAGGGGCATTTATTAAATGTTTCCAACAAAGGCAAGTTACTTTTGTCTGTCAAATCTGATTCTGAACATGGTCTTGAGTTACTCTGCATTTCAGGATGGCGCAATAATTCTGTGATGAAAAATGAGAAGTGGATCTGGAAACGAAGCACCAGTTGTTCCTACCACTGTCTTTTTCTTCAGAAGGAGCTCTGTGTTGTGTAATTCAGTTTTCAGATGTGGCTCTTCTGGCACCTGTTTTTACATTCGGATGTAGGGTACAGAGAAATTTATTGCTTGCCTAGAAATTTCTTATGTTCACAGGTTGATTGCTGCTCAGTCTGTGGCTCAATGGATGAATTCAAAGTGTTAAAATAGTTAAAAACATTTTTAAACATTTAGTTTTATTGTTTTGTTTCATTAGCTCAATGTTTACAACAATAAATGGTTTTTAAAACATCTCTGAAAAGTCCAGTGGAACACAGAAAGTATGGAGGAGGAAACAACCCTTTCTAGCAGAGGGTGGATGCAGGCGCTCAACCCGCACATTCTTTTCCTTGATTCCATTTCGTCAGTGCTCTGCAGAAGTGGCCTCTAGAGAAAAGTTTTTCTGCGCATGTCTTGGTGGTAGTGTGGAGGCTCAGCTAAGGTGCACCGAATCTTCAAGTTCCTGAGTAAAATAATGAGAACCTCTTTACCACTTGGCTAAAAATTTATTCTCCAGGAAGAATCTAAACATTAGGAAAACAAATTAATTAATAGCAGACAATGAAAGCTTCCTCCAGGTCGGTATTTAGTTACTGAAATCAGTCCCCGAGCCATCCTGAAGACTGGAAGGGATGAACAGGGGACTGATTCAAGTTTCCATCATTTTTGGCATGATCTCCAACAAACCTATCAAGGAATTTCTCTTTAATCAAATGTTCACATAAAACATAACAAATTAAAAGCATCAAAGAAAATCAACAGGGAAAAATTTACAAAGAATTATCAAGAATGTTTGGGGCATTATTGGTGAGTGAGATGCATGATCTGCGTAGGGAGTAGGACTTACCAGAGGGAATCTATTAATCAGTTCCATTTGGTCAATAGCTGTGACTGCTCAAAATGCTGAGGTACCATCCCAACCACCTCAGGCAGCAAAGCCTGAGGCCAAGAGGTAGCCAGATTGCCCAAGTGTGAAGTGACTTCAATGTAGGAGGTACACTGCATTGTGTCTGGGACAGTGGAATGTAGAGAAGACCTCTATTAGAGATGCCTTCTATCTTTCCTGATTCAGCAGTGATTTTCTCTGTTAGATAACTGGGTTTCCTCTGCTGATGTTTGCAAGTTTTAAGCAATTAGTCTCAATATTTCATGAATCTTTATTTATCTTAGAGGAAGGTGATCTTGTTGCTAGCTGGAAGAAAAAAATGTGTCTTTGAAATTGTTTTCTAGTCCTTTTCCACTTGTTTCCCTAGGCACTGACTAAAGACAAAAGAAACTTCTCCAGTGGATGAAGTTTGTCCACTGGCATCCACAGCAATGATGTCCTTGCTTCCCAGAGCGTACACGTTCTTTGCTGGTGAGTGAAAGACTGGGCTGTGGCATCCTTCCTCCCGCCTCACATGAAGACGCATTCCTTCTGTTCTCTAAATAACCTTGAAACAGGCTAAGCTTTCCAGAGCTCATTTATAGAAATCCTCAGTTTATGCAAACGCAGTATCTTGCAAAAGAATTAAAAAGGAGGACCAGAATTTAGAAATAGTAGTACAAGGGAAGAGCTCAGTGAGGACCACCCTGGAGATGGAGAAAAGATCCAAAGTCTGTTTCCAATTATGAGCTTCTTGGAGGATAAGAATATTTAAAGTAGTTCAAAATCAGGTGATGATGGAGAGGTCATCTGTGTTGAAGAGGGGCAGGGCAGCCTGGCTTGTGGGGAGTTGTAAACCTTGATTATAACTAAAATGAGATAAGTTTGTATGCAAACAAAGAGCAATGTGCCTTTGGGTCTAGTGACTACAGCTGGGCAGACAGAATGGGAAAATAGAGAAAGACTTCGCTTAGAATGAAGGAGAGGGTCAGAGCAGTGTTATTAAAACATTTCCAATGGGAAATCCTGGCTTTGTATCTAAGCTCTACCAGGTTGTAGTTACTTTGGGTGATTCATTTCAACTCTGGTGGTCATAGCTTCGTTATCTTTAAGTGATGGTATTAGCCAGTGTAGCCAGTGATTCTCAAACTTTTTTGATCTCAGGATGGCTTGGCACTCTTTTTTTTTTTTTTTTTTTTGAGACTGAGTCTCACTCTATCACCCAGGCTGGAGTGCAATGGCATGGTCTTGGCCCACCGCAATTTCTGCCTCCCTGGTTCAAGCAGTTCTCCTGCCCCAGCCTCCCGAGTACTTGGGATTACAGGCACCTGCCACCATGCCTGGCTAATTTTTGCATTTTTAGTAGATACTAGGTTTCATCATGTTGGCCAGGCTGGTCTCAAACTCCTGACCTCAGATGATCCACCCACCCTGGCCTCCCAAGTGCTGGGATTACAGGTATGAGCCACCGCGCCCAGCTGGCTTCACACTCATAAAAAACTATTGAGATGCCACAGAGTTTTAGTTCATGTGGAATCTATGTATTGATAATGATCATATTAGAAATTAAAATGATAAATTTAAATTAAAATATTCATTAGTTTATAATAACAGTTATAAGCTCTTTTCATATTAACATAAGGTATATTTATGAAAATTAACTATATTTTCCAGAACAAAAAAAAGTTTGGTGAAAAGAGTAATGTTTTGCATTTTTGCAAATCTCTCTAATGCAGTTAGATTCTCATATCTGCTTCCGTAGACTGTGTTACAGTATCACACATCTTGTAGTCTCTGAAAAACTCCACCGTATATGTATGAGATAAAGAATGAATGTCGGGGTGGCACATCTACCGACCTGTGGGAGTTCCCGAGACCGCCAACGTAGATGTCTCGTTCAACCTGAGAGAGAGAGTGCGCGGAAGAGAAAGAATATAGAAAAGTAGAGTCTGGAGGGCTGCGTGAAGATTATGGTCAAAATGCAGCAAATTTATTCTTGTGGGTTACAGCTTTTATACCTTTTTTCTTGTTTACATTTACCTTATCTCAGCAGAAAGAAAGAAAGGGGTAGACAGAAAGGAAATAGAAACTCCATAAAAAATAGTTATCAGGGGCTTGTGATATCCGCTCAGAAAGCAGTTTAAGGGGGCTAGTGATAGTAGTTTACATTTCAAAGATTTTACATTGCAAAGATACAATGGCACCCTTAAGGTGGCTGGTTAAACCTGTTTTTCACCAGGAGCTAAAACAAAGGCTTGGCTCCAGGGAAAATATGGGCAGAGGTCTCTGCTCCTCTTAGACATCTCAATTGCAGCAAGTTTATTGCTTACACAGAGACTGAAGGGGACATGGAAGCAGACAGCATAATGTCCTCATAAACTGCAGGCCTTTGCTTTGCATTCTGTTGTTGCTTTTAGTGACTCAGCTCATGGCCCTTTGTCTCACTTGACAGCCCTCGAGGTGGGGAAATGCAGACAGGTCCAGCAGCCAAACTGGGGCGAGTCAACTAGCTGTCTCGAGCCCTTGGCGCGAACACCACAAATGAATAAGTGAAATAATAACTAAGTATTATGAAAATAGTTTGGACTTGCAGACTCCTAGAAAGGGTCTTGGGAATGGGAAAACTTATGTTTACATTCCCAAGGCGTAATAATACCACCGTCTTTGTTTTGTGTGTGTAAGATACTCACAAAGTCTTTGTCCATTACTCACCTCTTCCTTTATCTGTGATCTTCAGACACTTGGCAAAGGGGGAGATATCTTAGAGTCCTGAACTTCCCCCTCTATCCTCCTTCATTCTGTAAATAATACAAAGGAATCTTCTCAGGACACTTCAGGCAACTCTGTGCCTCAATATCACCTGGTACCACCCTATACCTTTCCCATTCTGGAAGCTAGTTCCTCAGAACAGACAGAGAGAAGAGATAACTCTGACCTGCCTTCTGGAATGCCCCTGAGCTGAGGGCATTATTTCATCACTTTGCCCTCTCCCTGATGAACAAGCATGGGCTTTTGAATCAGACAAGATGGGACTGAATTCCAATTATGTGATTTCTGTGGCCGTAGGCAGATTGATTAATACCTTCGACACCCATTTTTCTTGTTTGTAAGAGGTTGATACATATATGGTTGTAAAAGGATTAAATGTGATACTATATTCAGTGCTTGTAAGATTCATGGAAGCACTTAAAAATGATAATTTTTATTATTAGAAAAGAGTATTATAATTATTCACAAACTCTGGAGAATAAATAATAAAGAGAACTTTTTGAGAAGGACATACTTCCCACTGTTCATCGTCCTTGTGTGAAAACTTCCAGTAGATCAGTGGTACTTAATCATTTTTGGTTTTAGGAGCCCTTTACATTCTTAAAAATTCTTAAAACCAAAAAGAGTTCTTGTTAATATGGGTTTGATCTACTAATATTTACCATAATAGAATTTTTCCTTTTTGATTTTTAAATTAATATGTGATTTAAATACAGTAAATTTTACCTTTCCAAGTTTTATAATTAAGTCTATGATCTATTTTCAAGTTAATTTGGTAGAGTACAAAATATAAATAGAAGTTCATTTACACAGAGACAGGGTATCGGAAATGTTCAGACAGTTCCCTCAAGTCTTCAGTTGAGTATTAATGAGCATATGCATAAAAGAATACAACACTGAGAAAGAACTACCTGAATAGAGCACCCAGAACCATTTAAGAAAGAGACTCACACCTGGCTGGCAGTAGTTTGTGTTCCCATGAGTCAAAGTGGAAAAAAGTTCTGTAATATGTAGGCATTGGGTACTCAGAAGTATATAGCTGCAGTACTAGGGAAATATTAGCCCTAGACTAAAAGCTCCTTTGATCTTCCTTAAAAAAGATGAAAAGTGCACCACAAAAGGGCTACGCTACTTACAAGAAACTTAACTACATCCTTAACAAAGCTTAAAAATATTTTAAGTTACATTAGAATATCCAGTACCCAAGAAGTTAAAATTCACAATGTTTGCATCTAATCAAAAATGACTAGGCATACAATGAAGCAGTGTGAAATGATTTATACTGAAAATGACAGCATATTTCTCATCAAAAATAATGCAACTTAGAATTATATGCTGGGATAAAAATACATCTTTTAAAATGAAGACAAAATTAATACTTTGCAGACATTCAAAAACTGAAAATATTCGTCGTTAGCATACCTGAATTGTAGGAAATAATAAAGTCCATCAGCAGAGGGAAAATAATATTAGGGAGAAATATATATCTACATGTGGAAATGAAGGGCACCGGATATGATTCTGTGCAAATACTTTTGAGGACTAAGTCATAAATTCTTTGCCAAGGCCAATTTCTAGAAACGTATTTCCTAGGTTTTGTTCTAGGATTTTCATAGTTTGAGGTCTTACATTTAAGCCTTTAATCCATCTTGAGTTAATTTCTGCATTTGTAGGGGTTCAGTTTCATTCTTCTGACAGCTCATTTTCCCAGAACCATTTATTGACTAGGGGGTCCTTTCTTTTTTTTCTTTTTTTCTTTTTTTTTTTTTGAGACAGAGTTTCGCTCTTGTTACCCAGGCTGGAGTGCAATGGCGCGATCTCAGCTCACTGCAACCTCCGCATCCTGGGTTCAGGCAATTCTCCTGCCACAGCCTCCTGAGTAGCTGGGATTACAGGCACGTGCCACCATGCCCAGCTAATTTTTTGTATTTTTAGTAGAGACGGGGTTTCACCATGTTGACCAGGATGGTCTCGATCTCTTGACCTCGTGATCCACCCGCCTCAGCCTCCTGAAGTGCTGGGATTACAGGCTTGAGCCACCATGCCCGGCCTGGGGGTCCTTTCTTTATTGCTTTTTTTGGGAGTTGATTCTGTCAAAGATCAGATGGCTGTAGGCACATGGCTTTATTTTTGGGTTCTTTATTATGTTCCATTAGTGTACCTGTCTATTTTTATGTGTCATGCTGTTTTGGTTACTGTAGCCTTACAGTGTAGTTTGAAATTTGATAATGTGAAGCCTCTGGCTTTGTTCTTTTTGTTTAGGATGACTTTGTCTATTCATGCTTTTATTTTTGGTTCCATATTAATTTTAGAATAATTTTTTTTAATTCTGTGAAAAAAGGACCTAGGTAATTTGATAGAAATAGCGTTGAGACTGTAGATTGCTTTGGGCAGTATGGTCATTTTAAGGATATTAATTCTTCTATGAGCATAGAATGTTTTTCCATTTTTTGGTGTCATCTATGATTTCTGTCAGCAGGGTTTTATAGTTCTCCTTGCAAAGATCTTTTGACTCCTTGGTTAGCAATATGAGGTATTTTATTTTTTTGTGGCTCTTGTAAATGGGATTATGGCCTTGATTTGGCTCACAGCCTGTATATTATCGGTGTATAGAAAAAGCCAATTTTTGTATGTTGATTTTTTATCTTGAAATGTTACTAAAGTTGTTTATTAGGTCTAGGTGCCCTTTGGTGGAGGCTTTAGTTTTTTCTAGGTAAAAATCATATCATCAACAAAAAGAGATAATTTGACTCCCTCTTTTCCTATTTAGATAGCTTTTATTTCTTTCTCTTGCCTGATTGCTTTGGCTAGGACTTCCAGTGCTATGTTGAATAGGAGTGGTGAGAGTGGACATTCTAGTTTTGTTCCATGTATTAGGAAAACAAAACAAGAATGTCTGTGGGCCTGTCATCAATGGCTCTTATTATTTTGAGGTATGTTCCTTTGATGCCTAATTTGTTGAGGTTTTTTTTCCTTTTTTTAATCATAAAAGTTGTTGAATTGTTGTTGAATGCTTTTTGACATCTATTGAGCTGATCATATGTTTTTTGTTTTTATTTGTGTTTATGTTGTGAATCACATTTATTGAGTTGTGTACGTTGAGCCAAATTCCACTCAGGAATGAAGCCTACTTGATCATGGTGAAATAGCTTTTCATATGCTGCTGGATTTGATTTTCTTGTATTTTGTGGAGGATTTTAAAATATCATTAAGCTTATTGACCTGTAGTTTTCTTTTTTTTTTTGGTGTCTCTTTCACTGACTTTGGTATTAGGATGATACCAGTTTCATAGAGTGGGTTGGGGAGTGATACAGTTTGGTTGTGTCCTAACCCAAATCTCACCTTGAATTGTAGCTCCCATAATTTCCATGTGTTGTGGGAGGAACCCATTGGGAGATAACTGAATCATGGAGTGGTTTGCCCCATACTGTTCTCTTGGTAGTAAATAAGTCTCATGAGTTCTGATGATGTCATAAGGGGAAACCTGTTTTGCTTGGTTTCTTATTCTCTCTCATTACTGCCACTATGTAAGACATGACTTTTGCCTTCTGCCATGATTGTGAGGTCTCTCCAGCCATGTGAAACTGTGAGTCTGCTGTGAGTCTGTTAAACCTCTTTTTCTTTATGAATTACCCAGTCTTGGGCGTGTCTTTATCAGCAGTGTGAAAATGGACTAATACAAAGAGGAATCCTTCCTCCTTGATTTTTTGGAATAGTTTCAGTAGGCTTGGTACTGGCTTTTCTTCCTTCCTTCCTCCTTCCTTCCTTCCTTCCTTCCTTCCTTCCTTTCTTTCTTTCTTTCTTTTTCTTTCTTTCTTACAGCTTATAACACCACTTTTATTAGAAAAGTTATACATAACACAGCATCAGCTATTTTCAAGAACAATATTAAACCTGATAAGCAACAAAAACCAGACTAACAAAATGTGTAACAAGAAACTAATGACCTTTCTAAAATTGAACATTCAATTATCTGCAATGTCTTTTTACAAACAGGGAAAACTCCTTGGTTTACAGGCACATCATATTGAAAATAAAGCTAGTACTGGCTTTTCTTTGTGCTGGTAGAATTTGCCTATTAATCCATCTTATGTAGAGCTTTTTTTGTTTGGTAGTTTTTAAAATTTAATTACTGATTCAATTTCATAACCATTTTTAATCTGTTTATGGTTTCAAGTTTTTCCTATTTCATCATGCAAGGCTGTGTGTTTCCATGATTATATCCATTTTCTCCAAATTTTCTAGCTTGTGCACCTAGAGGTATTCATAATAGTGTCTGAGGATCTTTTGAATTTCTCTGGGGTCATTTGTAATCTGTTCTTTGTCATTTCTGGTTGAACACCTTTGGATCTTCTCTCTTTTTTTCTTTGTTAATCTAGTTAGTAAGCTATCAATCTTGTTTTTTCTTTCAAATAACTAACTTTTTATTGGTTGATCCTTTGTATGATTTTTTGAGTCTTGATTTTGTTTTGTTTGACTCTGACTTTAGTTATTTCTTTTCTTCTGCTAGCTTAGAGATTAGTTTATTCTTGCTTTCCTAGTTCCTTACGTATGATATTAGACTGTTAATGTGATATTTTCCTATATTCTTGATGTAGGTTTTTAGCTTTATAAACTTTCTTCTTAACACTGCTTTTGATGCATACTAGAGGTTTTGGTATGTAGTATCTCTATTTTCATTTATTTCAAAGAATTTTTAAATTTCTGCCTTAATTTTTGTATACCCAAAATTCATTCAGGAGCAAGTTGTTTAGTTTCCATGTAATTGTGTGACTTGGAGAATTTCTTCATTGTTGATTTCTATTTTAATTCCCCTGTGTCTGGAGAATATGCTTGATATAATTTCAATTTTTTGAATTTATTGAGACTTGTTTTATGAATGAACATGCGGTGATCTTAGAGTATGTTTTATGTGCAGATAAAAATAATTTGTATTCTGTGGTTGATGGGTGGAATATTATATATATATACACACATACGTATATATATATATATATATATATACACACACACATATATATGTATATATATATGATCCTATTGGTTAAGTGTTCAAGTTTTAAGTCCAGAATGACTTTGTTAGTTTTCTGACTTGATGATCTGTCCAATGCTGTCAGTGGGGTATTGAAGTTCCTCAGTGTTATTGTGTGGCTATCTAAATCTCTTCTTAG